TCCTGTCACTTCAGCTCATTTGTCTCCGCCACATTCCCCCTTTCTCAATCACTCTATAATCCCTTATCCTTTCCCTGAGATGAAGTGCTCTCCGCCGTCTTGAAATAATCCTGCCTCTCTAGCCGTTTCCCGCTTCTCTTTGTCTTTGCTTCTCCCCTGTGCGAACGGCGTCACAACTTAAATTGATTCTAATTGATTATCGTCTTCTCGGTTATCACTTTACTGCACTGCTCTGCTAGCAGTGCCTCCAAACGGGCAGGCTGCCTCGAGCTGCTGCGCCCTTGAGCTTCACAAGGAAACTAACGTGCACCAGCCTGCAAGGTTTTCAAGTCTTAAATTTCGACACACTTCAGAGGTCCCGGAGAATGGTCACACGTCTTTTTTTTGTCGATTTTGCGAGATACAAAGCTCTAGAATCAGGAGAAAATTCCCTTTCCAATATTATGCACGAAATCTTGAAAAAACAGACTTATCACGCACTGGAAATGCAAGTGTGTGAATGTCGCTCACCTGCAGGTGACATTCACACACTTGCATTTCCAGTGCGACCATCGTCGTGCTTTGCAAGGTTCAGCTGTGTGAACGAGAGCGAAGCTGCCTGACCAACCTGTCCGTTTGGAGGTGCTGACTGCTAGGCTGCGAGCCGAAGTAACACCACGTTGCGTTGGCCTCTCAAAAGTGTGCCGTCACCCCATTTTGAGTTGGTGCGTGTTCGTGTGCCGCCTCTCCTCCTCCCCCCTAATGCAGCTGCCGCTCTGTCTGTTGCAGGTGCGCGCCCGGCAGGTAGGCCACTCCTCGTGCGCCGCGGGCCTGCCTCCGCCGCGGGTGCTCCCGGCCCTCGTATCGCCCTGTTGACGCCGTGCACTGCGCCTTGCCTCCTCCAGCGCCGCCATAACCTCCTAATTCCACCGCCTACTTGCGCGGTGTGTGTGTGTGTGTGTGTGTGTGTGTGTGTGTGTGTGTGTGTGTGTGTCAGTAATCCCCACGCCATTTGGCCCTAACTGCTGGGCGTGCCGCGCCGTCGCAGGCCGCCCCTCGTGGAATGCGTGTCCTCCCCTCCCCGAGCCCCCCTAGAGCCTAGAGAACGTATAAAAGGAGGAGCTGCGCGCATCTAGCTAAACAATATCCCGGGCGGGTCGAGGCTGTCGGCAGTGGGGACCAGCGGGGACCGGCGGGGACCGGGAGTAAAACTTCATGTATACCTATAGCAAAAAGAAAACACCAAAGTATTAAGTCCAATGGTGGAGCAGCCCCCGGGCAGTCTACCCCCTCTCCCCACCCTTTCTCTCTCTCTCTCTCTCACTCCTCTTTCGCTTTCGTGTTTTCTTCTCTGAAATGTTCCATTAATCTCGTCCGTGACGCGCCAGACAGACGGATAATTTATTATTATTTTCCGAGTTGTGTTTGGTCCGGTCCGGTCCGCGCCTCCCCCTCGTCACCGGCCGGGAGCGGCGCGGAGCCGCGCGGATACAACCAGGACTGTCAAGTTTGAAAATTGACCGAAATTCGCGCGCCAGAACTAAAGTGAGAGGCAGACTGGAAATAAACAATGATGTGCCCCTCTCTGGGTTTAAATAAGGTGTGGACAAACGTGTCGTACACAATTCAAAATTGTAAATTTACAAGCATTGCCTGTCGACTTGGAACTGAATGACGAGCAAGAGTGGAAGGTGTACATGTACGACACATTTTGTGATTGGCAATGTGCGAACATATTTTTCGAAGTGTAAATGTCAAAAATAGAAAATAAACGTTCGTACGTTCACAAGTTGACAGAATATCGTCACACTAGGAAAGCAATGCGCAACACTTCTCAAGTGTCCCACTAGTTGTGCGTATTTTGATATGCTGACCGTATACGCTCATACGCTCTTCATATCAGGGTTCCTTCCTGTTGCTGCGCTACGTATCGCATCTGCCATCTGCCTCGCAGTTCGTTTCAAGCGAGATTTCGCGCTGGGTTTTCTCTCGTCATTTTTTCGCCGCCGTGTCCCTGGTTTATACGACCCCGCCGCGTACCCCTGTGTGTGATGACTCCCCCC